TTTTTTTTTTTTTTTTTTTTTTTTAATGTCCTGGGAAATTTAGCAGTTTTCTTGAAATTTTCAAGGCTAACTTGCAGTTAATTTATTCTTCATTGTTGTCCATTTTAATTTCATTGATTTCATTTTCTCTCTTTTTATTCAGCCTACATGTTTTAACTTCCTAAGGTGGATGCATAGAACCTTGATTTTTGTTTTCTCTTCAAATATAAACATTTATAGTTAGAAATTTCTAATTTCTGCTTTAGTTGCTATCTATAAATTTCAGTGAGTGTTTTTATTTAGTCTTTTCTTCAGCGTTATTTAATATGCTATTAATCCTATCAAAATTTCATTTCAGATATTTTTCTTTTTTAGTTCTAGAAATTTCTTTTTTGGAATTTCTGTATTTATTTTGAGATCCCTTATCTTTTTCTCATAGTATCCATACTGTCCTCCGGATCTTTAAATGTATCTATGTTCATTACTTTTGAAGTTTTTTTTGCTTCTAGCATTTTATTTTATTTAGGATTTAATTTCTCTATTATAATTTTTTGAATGATCATATAGCAAAGTGAACTTTTTTGAGAAGGAGCTTACTTTTCTGTAGCCACCACCACAGTCCAGATAATAAGCATGTGCAGTCACCTCTCCCCTCCCCACTCACAGATCTATCCCTGTCACCAAGCTCTGTGCTTCCAGGAGTATAATGTAAGTGCAGTCCCAGCTTTCTGGCTTTTTGGGCTGCCTTCTCTCACTCAGTGTAATGTCTTCACGAGCCGTCCAAGTTGTTGTGTCAGTACTTGTTTGCTTCTGCTGCATATACTAGGACACTGTGCTCACTGTCACGAATCTGCGCTTTCACCTATTGAAGGGCCCACAGGTTGTCTTCAGTGCAGGCATCATATTGGAGCCACTCTGTACACTGGCACCCAGGCTTTGTGTGGACACGTTGGTTTTATTTCTCTGGGTGGAGTGCCCGGAGACACATGGCCAAGTCTATGGAACTGTGAGCCTAGCCTTCCAGGGTGCCACCACGTGTTTGCTGGATTGGCTATGCCATTTGCACTCCTTCCAGCACTGAGGAGAGGTCCACCTGTCCAGGGCCTTGTCAGCACTTGGTGAGGCATCTAATGTAGTCATTCTGCCAGATGCAGCGATGGTCAGGACAGTGAACATGTCCCCCAAACACTCTGTGTTGAAATTTTATCCCCACTGTGAGGTGTTAAGAGGATAAAAGCTTAATCTGGCTCTAGTATTCCTAAGTGGGGCACTTGGGAAGTGATTAGGATTAAAGTCGTCGAGGTGGAGCCCATGGTTGAGTCCTAGTGGCTAAAGGAGAAGGGGGAGAAGCCAGACAGATGTGCTCAAGTCACTGTGACACCCTGCATGCCTGACACTGCCAGGGAGAAGGCGGGTCACCAGAGCAGACCCTCACACCTCCAGAAGTGTGAGCCAAGGAAACAGTCATGACATCCATTGGCCCGGTACAGATACATGGTGGTCTCGAGGGCAGCTTCGACACCCTCTATGTGCTGCCTCTGGGCCTGGTGCTCTGTCCACATGCCCACACCACCAGCTCATATCACATGCACCTTCATGTGGCTTCCCATCCTGTCCCTACCCAGAGCCTTCCAGTCATGGTGCCTCTCCTGGCCTCCAGTAGGCCAAATACTCTGACCACAGTCATTCCTTCACCTTGCCTTGCTGGCCGCCCCCACTGGTTTCCCCTTGGTGTTGCTGCCCCAAGGCACTTTTTTTCAACCACCCTTTCAGGATCCCTGTTTCAGTGTTGCTTATGGCAGTGTGACAGTGTGATTTGTATATTTGTGTGTTCTTTTTATTTTGTTTCGTTTTTTTCTTGTACTGGGGTTTGAACCCAGGGTCTCTCACAAGCTAGGCAGATACTACAATACTTAGGTAGACCCTTTTTAAAAAGGATTTCTTTTCTTGTTCTTTCTTTGTATCTCTATACCTATTTGGATTGGTTTTTGACTCCTGGCTACAGGTTGTACTTTTCTGCCTCTTAGTTGAGTTTCTGCCATAAGTTGAGTTTCATATGCTACACATTGCAGAGGCACTGCCATGGGATCCTCCCTGGAAGTGTGCCTGCGTGGGTCTGTGGGATTCTCTTGGGACTTGTTTCTGAACTTTAGGGCCAGTCTAGAGGAGCCCCTGCTCTGGGCTGCTGTGGCTCCCCCCTCCTCTGTCTCCAGCCTGAGCGCTGTCCTTCCTGTCCCTGACCACATCCCTCTGGGGTCTCCCCTCAGTGCATGCTCCCTGGAGTTGTTCTCCACCAGCCTCGTGTCAGCTCTCCCTGCACACCCTCAGCTGTTCACAGATTTGGCTGCAGCCCTTCTCTGTAGCTACATCCTGTGAATCCTCCCACCCTGCAAATTCCAGCAGCCCAACAGCACCAGGCATGGAGCCTTCTGCCTGTCCCAAGCTGCACTGCCTCATGTGTTTTCCCGATGTTGCTACTGGCAGTGGTAGAGGTCAGGGCCAGTGTCCATCATTCTGTTGTGGTAGAAGTGGTCTGCTCATTCTTTTTTCTTTAGAAAATCCTTTCTCTTTCCATTTTCCACTTTTCTAAGTATTGGTTTTGTGTTCTTTCTAAAGTTTAGACTTCATTTCCTGGTTTGCCTTCTCATTTATGATTCTTATTTTGAGTTAACCTGTTTTTTTTGTTTGTTTGTTTGGTTGGTTTTGTTTTTGGTGCCAGAAGTTGAACTCGGGTCCTTGTGCTTGCAAGGCAGGCAGAGTTTAACCTCTTTGAAGTCACTGTTTCTGTGATTTCCTATTTCTAATGTATTTAGGTTGCAGTTTCTGTCTGTTTTGTGCATGTTTCCAGGGTGTTTTAATCATCACAGGGTATCACTGTCCAATGTGTTCTCTTTTATGTTCATTGGACTCCATCTGGACACTGTTCTGTGCACTGTTAAGCAGCCAAGCTCCCCTGCACCTGTGTGAGGAGGCACAGCAAGTACCTGCTTTCTTGGTACCCCTGGAAAGGGTTCCTTCCTAGAGGGATCTGCACACAGACGAGGGCAGAGGTTAAATATATAGCTGTGCATGCACACATAGCTCTGAGCTATGCAGCTGAGAAGGGCTGGGAGCAAGTGTATCCTCGGTGCTCAGATCCCTGTTTTTAATATTCTCTAGTAGGGAATCAGGACTCCTCGAAAAAGTGGCTGATTCCTTGGCTAGTGCAGGAAGTACTCCAAAAGAATCTCAGGCTTCCTGTGGTACTGGACAGTGTGGAAGTGCCCAGAAGTAGCCATGCTGCTGTGGGGCACGCCAGGCACCAGGGTTGGCCAGTTGAATTAGGAGAGTAAAGTACTATTGCTTTTAAACTCAAGGTGTAACATAAATACTTGCGATTCCACACTGTTTTAGTAAGAGAGTCAGTCAGTTTAATGGAAGAGAATTCCAAGTAAGTCATGTAGATGCTGCACCCTTGAGCTGGTGAGGAAGAACTCTCCACCCCTTGCACATGGCTGTGCATAGCATGACTTCCCTCCCAAGAACGAAGGAGTCACTGCACTTCGGAAGCCTTGACATGCCGCTCAGCCAGGAGTTTGGGCACATCACCAGGATGAGGCTCCTTGATGGGAGATGATGTAGAGGTGCTTTGCCTCTGGTCTTCCTCCCAGACCAGCTGACCCTAAGAAAAACACCAGTCAGATCCCAGCTCAGGGGCCCCAGAGTGTACCCTCAGAACTGCTAGGTATCTAATTGTGAAAGGTGAGAAACTGTCACAGCCAAGAGGAGCCCCAGGACTGCATGTCTCATGGGATCCTGGATGAGATCTAGGACAGAAAAAGGACAGGAGGGAAAACCAAGCCTTTCTTCCATGTGTACAGATAGAAGCCATACTGGAGCCCTTGTGCAGTGGACGCATCTGGGAACGTTTGTGTGCTCCCTCCCTCTGCTTCTGCCCACCTACTGCAGAGGGACTCTGTGGCTTTGAGGGAAGGGTCAGCTGTCTGGACAGTGCCCCATGTAGGCCATGGTGGCTGCTTTTGCCAAGCCCTTGAACCACACTGCAGCTGCTGTAAGCCGAAACTCATAAAAAGTGGGAGTGTCCCTCTCCAGGTGTTTGATTTTTCAGGGTTTGGTGATCAGCAGTGTACAGAGCTGCCATTAGGCAGGCCTTGGCCACACGGCTTCTCGAGCACCCATGAGGAAGTATTTCCAATGTTTCCATTAGGCACTGGCCCTTGGTGGCAGTGGTTCCAGCTGGCACCAGCTGTTGGAGTATGTGCCCGGGGCTGGCACAGTACCCTCCCAGTGCCCCAGAATCCAGTCACGCCTTTGTGCAGACCCACCTGGAGAGAGAGGAGCTTGTGTCCACTCTGTCTGGCCTGGCTTGAGGGTGCTTGCAGGATGTCCTGTCCTGCCTACTGGATTCCTGGGGTGAGCTGGGGCCAGCTGCCAAAAGTCCCCTCAAGGTGTAACCTGGGGCCTCTCTGACAGGCCCTTCCCAGGTCCCTCCTCCTGACCCTGCTCAGCCCAGCTCCGCCCAGCCAGCTCTGCACAGTTTTGAAAAGGCAATTCAGCCACTCCTGAGTCTAGCCAGCTCGAGCGTCCCTGTTCTGTGGAGGGAGCAGCTGTTTTTCTCTGCAGCTGTCCTCATTGGCCCAGATTGAGGGCGGAGGGCACTTCCGAGGGAGGGAGCCAGGGACAGAGCCTAGCAGCCAGCCTGGCCTGGCCCCTGCTCACCAGCCAGCAGTCTCTCCCATCATGCTCGGTGATCACTGTGGCCTCCCGGCAGACAGAGCTCTGCTCGGCCAGCCCCCCAAAACTGGATTTTGCTGCAAAATGGTGCTTCAGGCAGTCAGCAAAGTACTCAGGTAACAGCCTGCCCCAGGAGGGCAGTCAGGATGAGCTGTGGCCTTGAAGGCAGCACTGATCAGCCATGGGCAGGTGGGCAGGTGGGAAGGTGGGCGGGCCATTTCTGGGCTAGATGGCTGATATAACCTGAGGCCAACCTCGAAACTCCAGTGAGTCTGTGTACTGCCCAGGAGAAGCCAGAGCTGGTCTGAAACTTTGTTTGCCCAGTGAGGTTCTCCTTGGCCACCTGTACCTCCAGCTGCTATGGGAGAGACCCTCACCCTGAACCCCAGGAGGGAGGCGGCCTGGTGCCCCACCAGTGGCTAGAGCGATCTTTCTGGCCTCACTGTGTCTCACCAGCTTAGGGTCCTGCCTGGTCCTCAGGGGCCCTTCACCACCAGCAGGCAGGGGCTTTGACTCTCAGAGGCAGGGGTGGAGCTGTCCTCACGTGTCCTTGTCCAGAGGCAATGTGGGGTGCCCCCAGATACCTGGTGCCAGACTGGCTGCTGTGGGGGTGTTTGCCAAAAATACTGTTCCTAATGGTTCTCTGGCTTCTTATTTTTCTAATCTGCATGGTGTCCCCAGCCTCGTATGCATATACATGCATGTTAGTATATGTTACCTAGTATGTGAGTGGGTATGGTGTGTGTACATGGTATTAGGGTACGAATGTGCTGGTGTGTCTGGTTGCATGTGTGTGTTAGTATGCTGGAGTGTGAGTGGCATGTACAGGTGGGTGCATGAGTTCTGGACAGGCCTTGGGTTTCTGGAGCCTGGAGCTGTGCTTCAGCCAGGAGGGAAGGAGTCCTGGCAGGGCACTCAGAATGTGTTCTGGGAATCAGCCCTTCTCCTCCTTGCCAGAGTCTGCCTGTCATCTCACAGTCAGAGTATTTGCACTTGCTTTTGCGAGGCTCCTTTTATTGCAGCCCCCAGAGCAAGGTTCTTGGTGAGGCTGTTAGTGATTCCCCTTGGGACTTGGCCAGGGAGTCCCTGGGCTCACTGCCCACAGTATAGTCTCTTGTGCCTGTGATAGCATGGGCTTCACAGAAGGTCTCCGTGGAAGCCAAAGAGCCAGCCTGCCTGGTTCTGGTTCAGAGGAGTGAAACTTTGGTGTTTTTTTTTTTTTTTTTTTGGTCCAGGGGATTGAACTCAGGTCCTTGCGCTTGCAAGGCCGGCCACCAAACCGCTGAGCTAAGTCCCCAGCCCTAGAAGGGGGAAACTTTGGGGTTTTTTTTTTTTTTTGGTCCAGGGGATTGAACTCAGGTCCTTGCGCTTGCAAGGCCGGCCACCAAACCGCTGAGCTAAGTCCCCAGCCCTAGAAGGGGGAAACTTTGGGGTTTTTTTTTTTTTTTGGTCCAGGGGATTGAACTCAGGTCCTTGCGCTTGCAAGGCCGGCCACCAAACCGCTGAGCTAAGTCCCCAGCCCTAGAAGGGGGAAACTTTGGGGTTTTTTTTTTTTTTTGGTCCAGGGGATTGAACTCAGGTCCTTGCGCTTGCAAGGCCGGCCACCAAACCGCTGAGCTAAGTCCCCAGCCCTAGAAGGGGGAAACTTTGGGGTTTTTTTTTTTTTTTTTTTGGTCCAGGGGATTGAACTCAGGTCCTTGCGCTTGCAAGGCAGGCCACCAAACCGCTGAGCTAAGTCCCCAGCCCTAGAAGTGTGAAACTTTGGGAAAGTACAGGTGGGCAGGTGGTGTCTTTCGCTCTTAACTGTAGCAGTGCTGACATGGATGACGTATGGGCATGTCCACATGCCGTGTGCACATGTATGGTGGGTGACCTGCAGGCATTGCCTGGCTGTGCGGCTGCAGGCACTGTCTGCCTAGAGAGGCTGCTCCACTAGGGGAAAGAGGTGTCCCTGGACAGGGCCTCGCAGATGGGCTTACAGAGGAGCAGCTGGAGAGGTAGGGCTGTGGCCCTCAGGGCTGCAGTGGCACCTGATTGCATGGGCCTTTGGCTCTGAGCTGTTGTCTCTTTCTCTGCCACGTGGGCATTTTCCAAGCAAAGCGCATCTCCTAGTGTATTGGGAACACAAGAGGCTGGTGAAAGTATGCCTGGTCTGGAGGGCCACAGGATAAGGGAGCTCACATGTCCCTTCTGCTGTGTTTGAGCAGCTGAGCCTGTGCTGTGTAGGGGTGCTAAGGGATGGGATGGGAGACACAGGATGCCATCCAGGTGTGGTCTGCCAGTGTTAAAAGCACAGCTGAGGCTGAATGGAGACACAGGCCTCAGTTGCATCTGTTGGGCTGAGGATGGGAGGTGGCCTCCCTGCTTGTCCAGTCTGCTGTCCTTGTTGGGTAGTGGTTGATAGACAGGAGGGAGGCTGGGAGAGCTCAGCCAGGGAGCAGGGCCCAAGCTGCCCAGGTCCTGTCCTCAAAGGAGGCACTGCTGGGCCAGTGGTGGGTAAAAGGTCCTTCGAGCCTTGACTCAGGCTCAGAGGGCTGAGCAGCACCCACAGTCACCCTGGCCAAGAAACACGCAGGTCCCTTGTAAGAGGGCTCTGCCATGCTCCCCTCTTTGTTTCCCCCACATGCTGCTCAAACAGTGATTCCTCAGGCCTGGTCTTCAGGACTTGTGACTCTGAGTTCTTTATACCACCCCTTACCTCCACAGTTTTACCTGGACACTCTTTTCTTAAGGCACTGTGTTCTGCTACAGATCTTTACCATTCCCAGGCCTTCAGTCTCCTCAGGGCCCTGCTTCTGCCTCAGCACCCACACCACCCTGCTGGGGGTAGCTGCCTCTGCTCTGTGCCTAGGAACCCAAGGCCCCCTGCCTGACAACAGATATCATTAAGATTTGTTCTGTTTTTTAAATCTACAAGCTTTTGTTGCTCCTTGGCCATTAGGCATGTCAGGCAGGGCACCCCGCAGTAGCAAGGATTCACTTTGACCTGATGTGGGGGAGGCTGATGGACACAACCTCACAGGGTATGGCTGGCTGGAGTGGGGGTGTGACTTTTGATGGGTCTTAGAAGATTAAGTAGAGTTTGCTGTGTGGGTGGGTGCATCTGCTGTGGCAGTGAAGGTGTCAGGAGCTCGGGATGTGGGGTGCAGTCAGATGGGTGTGTTGGAGTCAGGATAAAGGCAGTTCTGGTGCACCTGGTCCTCACTCGGAAAGTGCCTGCCCTGTGGAGCCCAAGTTTAGTCCAAGTGTCAAGCAGGGGCTTGTTTTGGGGGCTCCCATCCCAAGAGGTCACAGCAGCCAAATCCCATCTCTTGAGCTATGTGGAAAGCATGAAGAGGAGGCCCATGGGGCCACTACCTGCAGGGCAGCCAGGCCACTGAGACCACAGCCTGGGCATGCCTCTGGGGCTAGGCTGAAAAATACCTGTTTCAGAACCAGGATCTCAAGGGTGGCCATAAGGACAGAAGCCCTGAGCAGGTGGATTGGGGCTGGCTTAGTGGAGCTGGTGTCCCAGCTGAGCCCCTCCCAGGAAGGAGGGAAGCAGGGTTTAAAATGTTTGCTATCTTGTCTCCATCGAGACTCCAGATCCTTCCTGAGGCAGAGGCTGGGCTTTATGTGTCCCCTTGGTCCTGCCCCTTGGGGCCCAGCAGGAGAAGGCCCTGGGACCATGGTCCATGGAATCTTGGTCTGGCAGGAAGGTTATCCTGGAGTGCAGGAACCTCAGGGACCCCAGGCTGGCCCTGGGTGATAAGATCAGCATGAACCTGGAGGAAGAACTCAGGGATCCTGGTGTGCACCTGCCTGTTTGTTCCAAAGCAGTAGTGCCCATAGGAGGAGGCACGATGCTAGTGCCCAGCCCAGGACCATGTGCCCTGTCACAGAGTGAGCCAGGTTCCTAGGCACTGCCTGACTGGTGGTGGATCTGGCAACCAGAGGTGGAGAGTAGCCTCAGTCTGGAAAAGTTCCCCACTTACTGGTGTATGACAGGGCTCTTTTCACAGGGCAACCTCTAAGGCAGGCCCTGAAATCAGGACTCAAGGACCAAGGTGATGCCTTGTTCTCAGAGATGGCTTTGCCCATTGCTCACATAGCATGAGGTGGGTCATGCCACCTGGACTGGCAGCCTGGCACCCACTATAATCTGCCCTGTTGTGCAGTATGGTCCCTCCAGAGGGAGGCTGAGCTCAGCATGTGTGGCTGTCCAGGTGGGGCTGGGCCCACGGCAGGGGAGATCAGCTTGGTGGTGATGAGGGCCAGGGCTCCGGGTGGCACCTGCCCTGTGGATGTGGGCAGGTCCTGCAGTGCTCAGTGAGGCTGGTTCCATGTGCCTGGTGTTGGATTACAGGCTGGCCTGGGCTTCCTGACAGAATGGTGCTTAAACTCTGTACATACTATGATCTCATATTGGATATCAGAGAAGTGCTGGGAACAGGGAGTAGACATGTCCCAAGGATATCTGTAGCACTCCTTCTGGAGACCTTGCTGTGCCAGGCCACTGCCATGGGACCCAGGAGCTCCTGCTGGGAGCCTTGGTATCCATGTATCCATGCCTGTGCTCCAGCCCCGGAGGAGCTCAGGTATCTTCTCCTGGAGTTTGCTGTGTATTGGGTGCTCTGGGACTGGGCTGGGCCCTGCCCTGCCCTGTCCCCTTCCTGGCTCTGGCCACTCTTGGCCCTGCAGCAGAGGCCAAGCATATGGCCTTTTAAGGCCAGGATCTACCGTGAGAAGCTGAAAGAGAAACATTTCCCTGGCATTGAGGGAGCATTTTTCTTTCCTCTTTCTCTTAAATAAACTATCAGCAACCTTTCAAAACAGAGAGGAAAAAATAGGATTGGTCAGAGTTACAAAGACCTTTCTTCACCACCACCCCACCATCCATGTGGCTGTTGAAAGACAGGGGTGCAGCCAGACTAGGCTGCCTCCTGGTGCCATGAAGCTTGGCTGCCCTCAATGTCCTGTGTTCTTGGGCCAGCAGGGAAGGCACCAGCTTGTGCATTCTCACTGGCTGGCCACCTCAAAAAAAGCCAGGGCGAGGTTTGTGCCTCCTCATTCTTAGGAGCACCCACTGCCTCAAGAGGAGGTTCTAGAGACTGAGCCCAGGGCCACCTCCTGCCAGCCCCCACCTTGGCTGTGGTGGTCCAGCCTCTAGCACCTTTCTTCCTACAGGTGTCCCCTGTGCCGCCAGGCGGCGCTCTTGGAAAGGCTCCCTCCAGAGTGTCTCCCACCACGTTGGCATCTTCCCTCACTCCCTGACCCACCTTCCCAGTCACGGAGCCTTTGTCTCCTCAAGCAGGCAGCCACATGAGGACACGCTGGGCACTTGCCCAGGGCCTCTCTGTGCAGCACTGCCTCCGTGGGATTGTCTGACAAAGGTGTCTTGTGCCTGTCAGTAAGTCTGTGTACCAGTGCTGTCTTATACCTGGTTTTGTACAAGTCATGGTGTTTACCACTAAGGAATTCAGGTGTTCAGATGGGAACAAGAGATTGAGCCATGCTGTGTGGAAAGCTCACTGCAGGTTGCAGCCAGGGCCTCCTTGCTGCCCCTGGGGTCCTCAGAGGCCACAAGGCTCCCCTGTCCCCCATCTTCGTGCTCCATTTGGGGTCCCTTGTGTTGTGCCCAGTGGACCCCACCTTGAGGAACTCCCTATGGAGGCTTCCAGTCAGGTCACCTCTTTACTCCTGGACGTGCATGTGGCTATGGGATGGAGCAGAGACGTTGTGAAAAGAGTCTCCAGGCTGGTGTGACACCTCCCAGACAGCTCAGGCCAGGCATCCGGCTGACAAGCGCTGCTGTGTTTCCCCTCCCAGGGGAGCAGCCCTTCTCATGGCCACTTAGAAGCTTATTTAGCAGATGAGCCACAAGCGTGGGGGCTCAATACTGCCCCAGCGCTGGGGGACAGCTGGCCTGGAAGAAGTGACCACATGCAGACATGCAGAGCTACAGCATGTTCTGTTCGGTGGCCTTAGTACCTGATGGCTACTCTGTTCAGCTGAAAACAAGACGTAATACTTTTTTTTTTTTTAGCAGTACTGAAAATTGAACCCAGGACCTTCACAATGAGCTACATGCCAGCCCATTTAAAATTTTTATTGTCTTTTTAAGATTTGAGACAAAGTCTTGCTCAATTGTCTGGACTACATTCAGATTTACAGTCCTCCTGCCTGAGCCTCCCAGAGTGGTAGAATTGCAGGTATGTGCCACCAGTCCTGGCAGTGAAACTAAAACATTTTAAAAATATATATTTATTCATTTAAGAATAGCCATACTACGGCATTGTGTGAAAATACAGCAATACAATTTGTTGGAAAAGAACTGTTTTTCAAACGAGCAGAGCTTAAGGAGAAGCCTGTGGGTCCTATTCCCTCAGAAGCTGGGTTCTCATGCCACCCTGCCTCACGATGTACCTGGTGGAGAGCACAGGGTGCTGCATAGGGCCTTGGTCTCTGGGAGGTGTATAGCTGCCTTGTCTGGGACTCACACAGGGTGTGGGTGGGGCCCCCCTGCCCTGCTGGCTGCTACTCAGTGGTTGTCTGTGAGCCCACAGAGCTGTCACGTGCATGGTCTCCCTGGAGGTGTGTGGGACAGCTCAGTAATGGGAGGACCTGACTGTCGCTGCACTTCCCAGGCCAGTCCTGGACTCCGGGGTACCCAGGTGGTGGTTTGGGGCTCCTGTCACACTGGGTGGGGCAGGCATCTTTCAGAGCCGGCATTTCTGTGGGGGTGAGCCTCCAATGTCCCTGGGCTGGTGCAGTGAGTGCAGGTGAGCCTGACCATTGTAGAAGGGGACATGCAGCCCACAGGATTCTGCTCAAGGCTCGAGAAAGCAGCTTTCTGAGGGAGGCTGACACTGTGGACTTCGGGATCATCAAGCTGGGCTGAGTGATGCCCACCCTGCCTCCAGCCTGGCCCTGTGTTGAGAGCAGGATAGTTGCAAGGTCAGGTCATACAAGTGCCAATGTAGCTACCACCTGCCTGCCTAGGTCCAAGTTCCAGCTGGCCAGAGGCCTAATACCTCTGAAGGCTGGTCCACAGCTTCCTGGCTGGAGCAGCCCCGCCCTGAGCAGCCTGCTAGGCTGTGGCAGAGGATGGATTCCCTCCAGGGGCTTGGGCAGCCACTGCTCACCTGCCCTGCCAAGAGTAACCCACAGCAGGGCCTTCTTGGAGGCCTCATGGGGCCTGAGTCTAGCCCAGCTCTTGGTGACCATGCAATCCCTTTTCTCTTGGCAGGAAGTCTAAAGCAAAGCCCAATGGCAAGAAGCCTGCTACAGAGGAGAAGAAGATGTACCTGGAGCCAGAGCATACTAAATCCAGGATCACCGACTTTGAGTTCAAGGAGCTGGTGGTGTTGCCCCGGGAGATCGACCTCAATGAGTGGCTGGCCAGTAACAGTGCGTGTGGGCTGATGGGGAGGACCCCAAGGCTGCGGGCAGTCGAGCCTCCCGCCCCCATCCCGAGGACCCCCAGCTTCTTCCCAGCAGCCCCCTTGTGGAGGGGGACAGGCTTAAGTGCCCAGCTGGAAGCAGGGTGTTTCAAACCTGGCCCTTTCCTCTCTTCCAGCAACAACATTTTTCCATCACATCAACCTGCAATATAGCACAATCTCAGAATTTTGCACAGGAGATACATGTCAGACAATGGCCGTGTGCAACACGTGAGTAGTGGCCTGGCCACACCCTCCTGGGAGGGATGGGGTCGTCTGTAGTAGGCCCTGCTGCCAAGCTCCAGGCTCACCAAGAGTCCTACAGAGCCTTGGGCTGGGCATTTCTCTGCACATCTGCCTGTCTGTCAGGTTGGTGGCCTGGCCTTCAGGCTCCCTCCTATGGCACAGGGGTGTCAGGATCTGGCAGGAGGTTGACAGGCAGGGATGTTTCTGAAAAGGATGCCCAGGTGTCGTTCCCTGAGACTGCAGGGCACCACAGGGAGTTGTGCTCCCCTGCACCAGCTTCTTTTCATACTTCTGTGTGCTGGGAGGAGCAGCGTGGCTGAGGCAAGCCACTCTGTAGGAGCTGGAGGTGCCTTCCTGGTGGCTGCCTTATAGGCCTGATGCTGGCAGCTCTCATTCATTTCTGCCATGGGCACCTCACCTGTGTTGTGGGTAGGAGAATGCAAATGGCGTGGCTTGCTACCAAGGCTGTGTTAGTTGTGGCACAAGCAGAAGGCTGTTTCTGCCGGAGCTTAGCCCGGTAGGATCCAGCCAAGTGTATTTTCTTGCACTGGGACCTATAGGCCAGGGCCTGATGCAGACACATGAACATACATGTGGATGCACCGTCCTGAAAGCCATCCTGTTTACAGATGTGGCCCTCTAGGCTCCTGATGTAGGAAGCAGAGGTCCCCAGGCAAAGCCAAACTGCTGTGGAGAACCCACAGGAAGGAGGTGCTCATATCACTCCAGTGGGTCACAGCCATGCTTAGTGATGTGGGGCAGGTGAGGCTGGCTGTCCACACCCTGTCCATTCAGGTCTGGCCTTTTCCTGGGAGGATAGGACGGTACTCTGTGGCCATGCTGGGAGTGGGCTTGGTGTGGTAGGACAGAGATGGGTTCTGATGGGAGGTGAAGCAGCACTTGAGAGTGTTCAGCCTGGCCAGAAGCAGTGTCGGTAGTGCCTGCCCAAGTGGCTGCCGCAGGCCTCTGTGCCACATACTCTCAGGTTTGGGTTTGTTTGGACAAAGCTTCCTGGCAAGAGCATAAGGTGTGGTGTGAGGCAAGCCTGCGTCCATGCAGACAGCCATCCCCAGTGTGTCCTGGAGAGCCAGGGCAGCACAAACTCCCATACACTTCTGTCTGCAGCCACTTTACATTGCTACTATATGTGGATTCATTTTCACGTAATCCTTCCTAGGAGTCATTTGAGACCAAAGGACAAAAACTCAAACTAGTTTGAAAGGAAAAGAGAGATTGGTCAGCGATCCACAGAGCCCCTTGCCATTGTCAAGGCCAGCAGGTCTGCCTGGTCAGAGGGTACTCGTCAGGCAGGGGACCATCTCCATCCTGCCAACACCCAGAGACAATCCAGAGAAGCCAGCCCTGGAATCCAAGGCGGCGAGAGAGGGCGGGACCAGGACAAGGGCAGAAGTCACTGCTGAGCACCTCCCACCTCTGCAGAGTTGTGTGACCGGAGCAGAGGAAAAGCGTTCAGCACCAGGGTGGAACTGGGGCCCACAGAGCTCCACCACATCACAAGGGCTGACAAAGCAGAGGTTGTCCTGCAGCCCACATCCCATGTCCTTGAGTGACTGTGCTCTTCTGGAATGAAGAAGTGACGAAGGGAAACTAAGTGCATCAGGGCCTCAGACCTCTGTAAGAGAGTTGTCCAGGAGTCCCCCGGTGAGCAGTGGCGTGAGAGAGAGCCACAGAAATAGCAGCAGCAGAGACTTCCTCTCAGCTTAGCTCTGCATCATCAGATAAGTGGGAGCAGAAGCCAGAGCTGGTCTGAGAGTTTCTCAGTTGTGCAAAGGGCAGTGTGAGGTACCATGGTGGAAGGAAAGAGGCTCAGTCTGCTCCTGGTTGGAGAGGCCACACACCAATGCGGAGTTGAGCTTGAAAGCCGAGTATGTGCTTTGTAGTCCTGTTGAGCAGCCTCTGAAACTGTAGAAAGACATACAAAACCTTAATAGGTAAATTAAAATGGAGTACTAGGAAAAATTTAAGTAGCTCAAGAGAAAGCTAGAAAGAGGAAATACAAGAAATGAAAAAGCAGAGGGAACAAACAAACAATGGTAACTCTAAAATCAAAACAGAATAAGTTACAGTAAATATGAGTGGTGTAGACACAATTACAGTACAGTGTTTATGAGAATGGATTCTTAGCAGAAGTTTTTTGTTCGGTCAACTATGTGGTATCTACAAGAAACTTATCTATTTAGGCTGCTGTAACAAAATGCCTTAGACAGGACTTCGAAGCCAGAGAAGTCTGTTTCTCATACTTGCAGAGGCTAGAAGCCCAGATCCAGGAGCAGCAGCTGTGCTGTCTGGTGAAAGCCAGACCTTCTGTGAGACGCGCTCTGGGCCTCAGTCACAGGCAGAGTCCACATCCCAGAGGCTCTGCTTCTGACGCCATCTCCTTGGGGTGTGATTCAGCCTCCACATCTGTGGACAGACCCTCAGACCCTAGCTAACATCACTGTAAACGCTGTATCCAGAGGTTCAAAGTAAAAGGATGGAAAAAGCCAAGCCAAGAAGACACCATTCAGAAGGAGGCTGAAGTGACTGTGTTCCTACCAGCCAAGATTTAGAACAAGAGGAGACTCGCTGGGCGGAGGGAGAGATCACGTGCTAGCAAAGGGCCAGCTTGCCGAGCAGAGTGAGGCACCTGTGCATTGCAGGAAGCACAGAGCTGTGCGTGGAGCGTGTAGACAGAGCTGAAGTCCCACCACAGACCACCGACATGCCACAAGCTCGGGTGGCACTTAAGGACATTGCACCTCAGCAGAAGAGTACACGTTCTTTTCACGTTCACAGGGAGTGTTCACCAGAATAGAAGAGCCCTTAACAGTTTTAAAGACTGAAGTTATACTAAGTAAGTTATCTGACCACATTGTAGTTTTGTCGTTAAAGTGGAATTCAGTAACAAAAAGGTAATGAGAATTTTTCTAAGCACTCGAGTCAACGCGGTCCTGAATAATTTGTTCTCAGAAAGTCTCAGGAGAGATTAGAAGCTATTTTAAACTAAGCAGAAATAAAATTACATTCAGAATCATGGTATGCAGCAAGGCTTAGAGGGAAATTTATAGGCCTGGATTCTTATTTTATAAACATCTTGAACTGATAATCTAAGGTTTGCATCTTCAATAAAAAAAATAAAAGTCAGGGCCAGGGATTTAGCTCAGTGGTTCTGCTTGCCTTCCAAGCACAAGGTCCCAAGTTCGATCCCTGGTACCCTCCCCCAAAAGGTAAAAATCAACCAAAATTGAGCAGAACAAAGGAAATAATAAGAGAAGAAGTCATTAAAAGTGATTTCTAAAAGCAGTAGGGAAGTCAGTAAAACCAGAATTTGCTTGTCCAAAGAATTTGATAAACCTCTAGCCAGATATAAAGATAAAAAGACTATGAAAATGATCAATATAAAGAATAAGGACATAACTATAAACTCAGCACATGTTAAAAGGATGATGAGAAAATATTTTTCTTTCTTTTTATTGAGGTTATTGGTACAATCTAGGTATACAATACAATTACATTCATCATTGGGATTCTGTACCTTTACATAATAGGTCTTGATTCTCATTTTTCCCCTTGTCCCTGCCCTCCCTTCACCCCCTCCTCCCCTCCCCATTTACAAACACTGTATTTCCATTTTTTCAGTTGAGAAAATATTTTTTAAAACACTCTATGCATGTAAATTATATAGCTTAATCCAGTGGACCAGTAGTTTGGAAAACATAAGATTTCAAGATTAGCAGTGCACTACGAGGAAAAAGGAGTAAAAGGCATCTACATTGGAAAAGAAGAAATAAAGCTGTCACCACTCATACAGAACATGACTGTAAAAGGATTCAAGGATTCAAACAATAAAGAAATAAAGCCAGGCCATGCTAGAAAAAGGTATATGTAGTTCTTTATACTACCAATGACAGTCGGAAACCTAAATTATTAAGGCAGTACCATTTATAATAGCTTTAAAAAGTAAGACACTTAGGCATAATCTTAATATTTACAGGAACTGTATCCCAGAAATTACAAAACTCCAAGGCTAGGAATCAGCAGTGACCTATGTAAATCAGAGGCGGAGGCGGTGGGGGTGGGGCCACAATGTTGTGGGTGGGAAAACTCAGCATACGAAAAGCATAAATCCTACTGCACATGGATCTGTTGTTTTAGTGCAATTCCCATTAAAATATCATCAGGGTTTTCTGGCTTTGGTCCAGCTAATTCTAATTTACATGGAAGGATACAGTAGCTGGGACAGCTGCAAGAATTTTTAATTTCTTAGAACTTATTAAGTGGTGGTTTCAAAAGTGGAGATTCCATCAAATAAACAATCCGGGTAAAATTACATATAAAAAATATTCAGGCAGAAGTAAAACAAAAGCAGCATGTCTACTACAGACTGTAGGATGTCAGGATTTTAGGCGATTCATATAATAGTATTCTGTGGCACTAAAATGTATTAATACAGTGAGAAATATTACCCATTGGAACAAAAGAATTTTGAAACAAGAATGAAAAGTTCTCACAGTTTTAAGGTTTAATGTAAAACCACAGTAATTAGAACAGGATATTGGCCAAAGGACAGACACAGATTGTAGGATTGGAGCAGGGTCCAGGAGGAAACTCATAGATGTGGCCTTCTGGTTTTTGACAAGAATGTCAAAGAGATTCAGCGGAGAAAGGATGATGTTTTCAGTAAATACGTGTGAAAACCTGTCAGAAGTTTGCAAGATAAAGGAGAATGTCGACTTAAACCTTACACCTTATACAGAAAACTTGAGTCTGTAACGTTTTAGATCTGCATGGCCTGGGACTAAGCAGAGTTCTGTGAAACTGGAAAACAATCAGCCGGACTTTATAAAGATTCAGAACTTGGTCCGAGAAGGACACTGTTAAGGAAAGGAACAATACATTGCCGAACGGGAGAACATCTTGCAGATCACATACTGCACAAGTACTGGTATCCAGAAACAGAAACCAGTGTAATCCAGAAGGTGGAAAGAGCTCTCAGTGGACTGAGGGATCTGGAATTCTCTGGAAAAAAACTCACATGCACTGACGGGATACAGATTACAAAACTCTCAGGGCACCTCTGGGATCCAGGTACATACAACAGATCTCACACACACCTACGGGAACCAGGCAGGACATGTAAGGAGCTCTTGGCTCACCTCTGGATCCCTGACCCCTGAGGAACTCCCCATGCACCTTTAGGAAGACATCCCAGTGTACAGTGGGCAAAGGATTTGGAGGCACCGCCCCCCAGTGGTCATAAGGAACAGAGCAGAAGATGCTCCATACCAGTAGCTGGGGGACAATTCATGCCCTGCTGAAGTTGTGCTATCTCTCTGGCAGCACGCCTGTGTGAACACCAGGGCCAGTGAGGACGGGCAGCCCTGGGATGTAAATGATGCCACTGCTCCAGACAGTGACTTGCAGATTACATCTTTTCTGTGACCCATAACCCCATCCTGGTATCCCACAAAAAAAGTTCGTGTGCACACACAAACCCACACAGGAGTGTGTAACAGCTGCCCCCTAGAGCAATGATGGCACTCAGCAATGAGTGGACAAATGGGCTGCTTCTCAGGGTACAAGGGGATGGACTCCTGATGCATCTCCATGGCATGGCCAGCTCCCAGAGGTGTGTGCTGTGGGAGAAGCCATGTCCTTTGCTGCCAGTCTTTTGTGGCAGGCTCTGAGACAGCTGGTGTGTTGTGGGGCAGCCTAGGCTCTTCTGTGTGCGCCGTGATTGTGATCAGGGCTGCAAGTCTGTGATCAGATGATCAAAGTCAGCTTGAGCTCTGCACCTTGTATGTCTTTGTCCCTGACCCTGGCCTCTGAGGGGCTGGCAGTACCAAGCATGGGTGTTTGAGGGTCGGGCATCGGGCATCGAGGCCAGAATGCAGATGCCAGCTGGGCCCCATGGGCTTCTGGTGGTGGCAGTGGATGCTCCTGAAGGTTCTTTGCCTTCTGACAAGTGCCAGGCTGCCTCCCATGCAGAGACAGGCAGCCACATGTTAGAAACACAGAGATAGGCACATGCTGTCTCCTTGGGGGACTGAGATGGGGGTGTTGAGTTCACAGCCAGCCCGGGCAATGTAGTCAAAAGAAAAAGTACAGTAGAACCCAAAGCTAAGCAAATGTGGAGGAGATGAAGGTGAACACCTTTGTTTCCTTTAATACTCCCAGCCCTGGGCTTGAGGCTGCCAAGTCTCTTTCAGTGGTGTCTGTGTCGGCACCTACACACCCCCACAGGAATGTGGTCAGCCACGGTCTCTGCTGCCCTGGCTGCAGGTCCTGCCATGTGCCGCTGCAAGCTCTGTGTTGTGCGAGGTGGGAGTGGGCACCGACTGGCCTCTGTCCCCACAGACAGTACTACTGGTACGATGAGCGGGGAAAGAAGGTTAAGTGCACGGCCCCTCAGTACGTCGACTTCGTCATGAGCTCTGTGCAGAAGCTGGTGACTGATGAAGACGTGTTCCCCACAAAATATGGTACGTTCCACGGCTGGCAGCTCGGCCTGCTCGGGTAGGCATCATCCTGGGGCTAGCAAGTGCTTTTCCTGCTGGGCTAGAGGGTGTCCGGAGTGTGGCATGAGGGGCAGCAACTGTGTGACCCCTGCTTAGTACATGGCACCTGGGCTGTGGAGTGGGGAGGGCATCTGGGACCAAGGCCCTGCATGACCTCCACCACCAGCTTTGCAGTGAGACTCCCCCCAGGGGCTCTCAGGCTGATATGTTCAGGCCTGCCAGGGCCTGGAGGTCCCAGAGCAGATCCTGAGCTGCCAGTTGGCCAGTGCCTGGCCAGCACAGGTGCCCGGGACTTGTCACCCCAACCCAGCCCACACAGAACCTGGGGCACCTGTCAGCACGCCTGCATGTGCAGGCAGCCAGCACGGCTCAGCAGGCATTGCCCCACTGGGCCAGACTGCAAGAGACTGCGCTTTGCGCTTCTGCTGGGCAGAGGCTGCAATGCTCAGCAGGGCTGGTTTGGGGAGCGGGGCCCCTCCACCTGTGACACGCCATCCCCCCACCACCCCACCAGGCAGAGAATTCCCCAGCTCCTTCGAGGCCCTGGTGAAGAAGATCTGCAAGTACCTATTTCACGTGCTGGGCCACATCTATTGGGCCCACTTCAAGGAGACACTGGCCCTGGAGCTGCACGGACATTTGAACACACTCTACGTCCACTTCATCCTCTTCACCAGGGAGTTCAACCTGCTCGACCCCAAAGAGACTGCCATCATGGACGACCTCACTGAGGTGCTGTGCAGCAGCCCTGGTGGGGGCTGTGGCGGGGACGGGGCCAGTGGCGGGGCCTCGGGGGCACAGAACCACGTGAAGGAGAGATGAGCCCAGGCTGGACGGGTGCACATGTGCAAAGAGACGACCGTGCATCTGCGTGTGCGCACACGTGCCAGGCACGACTGCGGTGAGGTCCGAGGGCTCGGGCCGCCCCGAGCGTGGGCTCCACGGGTGCGCTGGGGCTGCAGCGTGCTTCCTGGCTTCCCTGTTGGATGGATGAGTGCTGTTTGTAGCAACGAGCCTGGGATTCATTCATTCATTCAACAAACATTTATCAGACTGACATTTGTGTTTTCTTATGTGGGGTTTTCCTTTCTTGGGTCTTCTTTGTGGACCCTGCCCTCCCACGGGCCCTACCTGGGGGGGCTCTGTTGCTTCGGAAGATGCACTTCACAGGAGGTGGGCCTCTCTGAGGCTGGACCTGCACACCGCCGGGTTCTGCTCTGTTTTGGGGTGGGGCTTCAGGCCCTCCCCTGGCCTTGCCTGGGCCCTGGCTCTTTGTGGCTCTGAGTGGGGGTGCTGAAGTGCCCACCAGGACCCACACCTGCTGCTTGCTCTTGTCACCCCTTCCTGCTGCCTCCCCCAGCCCGGCGAGGGTACACAGATGCCGGGTGAGGCCAGGCCGAGGCTCTGTGTGGGGATGGAGCAGGCGGAGGCAGAGATCGCTTTAGTGCATCTGTTCAGTCGTAATAAACATAATTCTCTCAGGTCAGAGCCTTGTGTGTGTCCTCAGCCTAGCGGCTCCTCCCTGGTGGTAAGGGGTGGGAGCAAGATGTCACTGCCTGGTCCCTCGTGTGGGGCAGGAACCACAGCCATGACTTGGGCCCGGGCAGCAGTGTGCAGTAGATGGAGGGGAGCCCCAGGCTGAAGCCTAAGCCGGCCGAGTGGGCTGAGAAGACGGAAGTGGACCTGCGTGTGGGCACTGCTGCTGGCTGCAGTGACAGGATGGCTGCTCCGCAGCTGGGCCCCTTCCAGCTTGGCCTGTACAGCGCACCTGTGAGTGACAGGGTTTCTCTGCTGTCCTGCACCGCCTTCAGCTGGGGCCACTGCAGGCCAGAGCCCCTTCTGCTGTCACTGCCACCCATGGCCCTCAGTCCCCATCCTGCCAGCCTTCTCTTTGGACCTCCACAGCAGCCTCTTGCTCCATCTGTTCCTGAGCTTCCCTATCTGTTGGCCCCGAGGCTCCCCAGAAAGCCCTGGCACCTCAGGTGCCATCTGCCTGAATCTGGGTGCACCGTTGGTTGGCGGGAGGGGCTCCAAGCTCCAGGTGCCTGGGTGACCGCAGGCCTGATGACCCAATCCTCGGGACAGAACCTTCAGGGCAGTATGAGCCCCCAACCCAGGTGCTGCCCGCCACCATGGCTGTGTCTCACACAGACCCCCTAAGTGGAGATCTTGGAATGTCCATTGAAACTGACTCTAGGCTGTGCTGTTGTGGGTGCTGGGCTGGCCTGGAAAGATGGTCTGCTTTGGTCAGCTCCCAGAGTAGGGTATTTGGGGCCTGGCCTGGCTGCCCAGCGGGGGCTGGAAGGAGCTGGAACGCAGGGCAGGGTAAGGCAATCACAAGGATGCAGCTTCCTAGGAGGAACTGCTAGACAGGACTTGCCATGTGTGTCAGGTAACACAGGAGCTCCTTAGGTGTCCAGGACGCACACTGGCCCAACAGGAGTGGTAGGTCCCCTGGGCCCACTGGTGTGTGCAGTCCACCTGGTGGCTGGGCAGCAGGGTGAGGGTTGACAGCTTGTGGAGTACTGGACAGTGAGCTCCCAAGGGAGTGGCCTGCATGCTTCTTGAGGACCACAGAACACTGTCCACAGGACGGCTCTTTGCCCATGACCCTGAGTCCTGGCCATCTCAGGCCTCGGGGAAGCCTTCCTACCTGTACCTGGGTCTCCCTGCCTTTGCAGGGAGATGGCTGCAGGAGGCTCATCCTAATGTACACAGCTGCTATTCTCCTGGCAGGTGGAACAGTGCCCCACCCCATGCCCATGTCCTAAACCCTGGGATTCATGTCACTGCTGCTTTGGCAAAGGCTGCATAAGACTCAGGGCTCCTGACCAACTGACCTTGAGGTGGGTGCAAGCCTCGGTCTCCCAAGTGGGCCAAGTGCCTGTCTAAAGGCCATTTGCATGGAAGGGGACAAGAACCCGGAGATGGGCAGCAGCCTGAGAAGGATCCAACCATGGAAAGAAGGCTTCCCCCGAGCTTTCTGGAGACGCTGTGCCAATTTACACCTTGGTGTAGCCTGATAGGCTTGCTGTGAATTTCTAACTTCCAGAAATGCAAGGTCACAAATTTGTTTTCTCCTAAGCCATAAGTTTGTGGTAAATGGCAGCAGCAGAAATGAGTGCAGAGTTGGGTGCTACTTAGCAAACGCCTGGAAATATGGGCACGGCTAGGGCACTGGAAAGCGAGATGGAGGAAGTGAAGGTTCCTGACAGCTTGCCAGAAGTGTGGCCCTCAGCGCTCCTGCATGGACGGGCACAGCAGGGACGATGGAGGCATCCCAAGAACACTTGGGAGCAGGAGCACTGGGGTGTGTCACTGTGGCCAGATAGTGCCACGTGGCAGCCAGCCTGGACATTGGCAGAGGTGTCCAAGCTGTGTGAGAGCCTGTGACAGGAGGAACGTGGCGCCTTGGGATCTGAGGAGTTCTTTGACTCTGAATTCCAAGACTCTAAAGTGTGGAGATTCAGTCAGGAAGGCACAACCTGGAGAAAAAGTTCAGGGTAAGGCTGGACCAGGTCTTTAGCCAGTTCCTCAGAAAGAGGAGCAGGCCAGCGTTGGGCCACACGGAGTCCTGGAAGAGAAAGTGAGCACATCACTGAAGATCAGTGTATCGGGAGGGCTGGGACCTGTGCCTCACCTCGGAGTGCCCACTGTGCTAGATAGGAGGCCTTCCAGGGTTCTACAAATGCACTGGAGGGGGACAGGAAGGACAGAAGGCCGGGCCCCTCACTACTACAGGTGGGAAGCAGACTAGTGGGACAGTCCAGCTATGAACACTGGCCATGTTTCATGAAAAGAGCAGGTGGCCCATGGGACTACAAGTACAAGGGGTGGGGCTTGACCCACAGAGGGTGTCTGTCCTGCTCCTGTGGCCGGGAAGCTCAGGAGCTGTGTCTGCGGGACTCTGCTGAGATCGGGATGCGGAGGGGAATGCAGTTTGATGCTTTGATGGGGTGAGTGCATTTTGCATGTGAGGTCATGTGAGACTGGGCCCAGGTGTTGGACTGGGCGGGTAAAACTGCCCCTCAACACACATCTGCCCATGTGTGCTGGTCCCTGGGACCAGCCCTGGGGTGCCGTTTCAGGGGAAGGTTACAACCTAATGACGACCCAGCGACAGTCTGGCCTGGGGTGACCAGAATCCCAGAGTGGAAGTGGGGGGGGGGCAGGGAGAGCCAGGGCCTGCAGTAAAGGTGGAGGATGGGCTCCTGGGGTGGGGCACCCTGGAAGTGAGTGCTTCCTGCAGCATGGCGGGAATAGGCTGTGCTGACTCCAGCATCTCCAGCCAGAGATCTTCCAGTTCCTGACCACAACCGAAAGGAAACTGTGTGGTCACAGCGGCAACAGGGAACTAATACATCTGTAATGTGGGTCACTGAGTGCTTGTCGGGTCCCATGAAATCAGTGCCTAGCACCTGGATCCAGGCCTTGGCCCACAAGGCTTCTGTGGGCCTCAGGTCAGGGACGCTGTCCCTTGCCTCCATCAGCCCAAGGCACCTCTGCCACAATGTCCCCCCTGGTTCTCCTTTGCCATTGGGTGGGTCATACCAGAGACCTAGACTGGTGGCAGGGAGTAGGCTGGGCACAGAGAAGAAAAAAGGAAGAGGTCAGCAAGGGGCAGGGATGCTGGCCCCTCCTCTGGGCAGCCTGGTATGGGGCAAGGGCCGGCTCTGCTGCACCCACTCTGCAGCTGGCAGCAGGACTTGCTTCCCCACAGAGGTCCCGTTGCCTCTCGTGCCTGTCCTTCATGGCTGGATCGCTGGCCTGGCTGCCTGTCTGCGGGCTCACCAGGCAGTAGTAGCAACATACCCCGAATGTGCCAGCCACGCTGCCCCAGAGACTCAGCAGCACCCAGAAACCTCTGCTCATCACAGCTGGGCAAAGGGCAGTCTGGCATCCGTGGCAGAGGTCAGGGAGGCTGCAGATCCCACCAGAGACAATTCGCATGCTGTGCGCCACAGCCTTGCCCTCCAGTGGGGCCCCTCACCAAGCCATGCCGGGGTCAGCTGAGAGTGGAGCTTTGTAGACCCTCAGGATCTGCAGGCTGTTTCCACCACAGCCCTACATAGCCGGGCTGGCTGTGAGTGTCCCCTGCAGGATTCTCCCCAGCAAGGAGCAGGAAGGTCTATGCTCCAGGAGACAAGCCAGGTGCCAGGTGAAGCCCTGAAGGTGCAGGGCAGAGGACAGCACTCTTGTCACTCCCTGCTGCAGACCCCGGAGCTCCATGCCAGCCTGACTGCTCTTCCCTAGCCCGGGCCTGGGGCCCTGGCTCCAGCTGGGCAGCCTGCAAGAGGCCCAACACATCCAACTCTGTCCCTGGCCACCTGGACCCCCACACTGGGCTCTACTCTCCAGCTGGGCGGACCCCGACTGGGCACCATGGGACAAGTTGCCTCGGGGCATCCTGGGCCCTTCCCGTGCCCGCCCTGCCCGCACGGAAACCTTGGGTCAGCTGTCTTTACGGAAGGAATTTATTGTTCCGGGACTGAGGTGCTCACAGCTGTCTGACAGGTACACTGGATGGGCTTGTCCACTCCGAGGCTCAGCCTGAGTCCACGTGGTGAAGTACAAAAGAGCAAGGCTAACGCGAGGTATTGCTTCGGTGTCCTCCTCCCGCCTGTGCTGCGTGGCTTTGCTGTTACAGGTGTTTGACTTTCTCTTATGTATAGAAATCCCGGCCTGTGGCAGAGTTTAATGTAACAGAAGCGTTAAGATCTCTACATGAGGGGCAGCGGGGAACACCCAAAGCAGCGTGGACGTTCACGGCAAAGACATGCATGGAACCTCCCGTGTGGTCGTGCCCTGTGCCGCCAGTAGGAGGACACACAGCAGCTGGAGGTGGGTGCAGCTGGCCGGGTGTGGGCAGGCAGCCCTCGTGGGCAGGCAGCTCAGCTTCACTATGGACATCAGGAACACTCCACAGAGGCACGCTTTCTGTCTTGTGGTTTTTTTAACTTTTTTTCATTTTAATAAAAAAAAGCCCTGCGGTACACTGCCATCCTTCGTGTGAGAGGGAGCCTGCCCAGAGCCCTCCTCCCACCCCTCACTCCTGGACACAAAAGCAGGAGAGCATAGGGCGGTGCCATCACGGGTGCCCCAGCCGTCCTGCTCCAGGACAGACGGGTCAGAGCCCAGCATGGAGCTGCTCCTGCAGGATAGGCGGCACAACCTGGGCTGGGGCTCCGGGCACCATTCATTAAATGTGTGTGTGTGTGTGTGTGTGTGTGTGTGTGTAGAAATAACCAAGAGCAAGGAGCCAAAACACAAACCTAGCCCTGCCCAGCAGCTCCCCCACCCCCGCACCCTTTTCCAAAAACAACCAAGGAAAAAAAGTTTATAAAAATATCTTGCAGGAATTCTTTGAAGTTTACAGTAGCTTGCCAGTGCTGCATCCACCAGCCAGCCCCTTGCTGCCCCAGCCCCCCGACAACTCTGTCCTCAGAGGGCCCCTCAGCTCTGGACCCACCCTGCCCGAGACGG